GATTTCGGGTCGTGCTGTTGCGAGCGGAGCACACAAGCCACCAACTCGAGGAAATTTACCCGAGGAATAAAGAACTCTCACAGAGACAAGTGAAAACAAATCAAATAATATCTTTATTTATATACTGTTGAATAGTTCATTTATATCGAAACTCTCAAGGTTATCTCCAAACAACATTAACTTTAAATCATTGAATTCTTCACTTTGAAAGTCTAGATGTTCATTAATAAGACCTTCTATTGTGTTAAATAACATAGACACATCATTAGTTAAGTTATCAACTAAGTTAACACGAGAAATTCTCTTGGTCATAATCTGTATAACTGCATTAACAATTCTTCTAATATGTCTTTCAGTAGTTCTACTATAAGCATTAACAAATCTACTATTTCTTTAGTACACTTAGTATTATTCACTTTCTCTCTTTAGACATTATTAAGTGAAACACTGTTAGACTATATTAAAAACAGCATACTTACAGAGAATTTGCGTGGCAAACTTCTAGTAGATTCTGGATTACTGTGATCTTCTTCTGGAGTCGGATCAGGTCCTCGGAGCAACTTGATAAGTGTGGAGAAATCTATATTGGAGTCGGAAACACGGAATTATATACACGATTTTTGGTGTTTTTCCGACTGTTCAAGAAGTTTAGCTAATCTACTTTCAAAATCAGTTCTTTTAACTCGATTGGTACAAGTGGGGTCTTCCAGCAACAAGTGGACTATTCCATCATACTGTAACCAAAATCCACTTTGTTATTGGTCCTTAGAGAACCTGTTTCTGTCCCTTATCTAATATCTTTGTGGAAATCATCCAAGACAATTAACTTAGGGCGTATAGAGACAAACCATGTAACTCCAGTCTCTTCAATAATAGTATTTCACCCTTGTCTTTCATTGCCGTCCCTCCCGTTAACTGCTTTTACTTTGACATTGGTTCATTTCGACATGTCTTTTATCGAACTAGTGTGGTTTTCTCAACATACCACGTCTGTCTGGCGCGAGAATTGCTAGCTGTGAACTCTTGCACCTCTGAAGTCAGGACTGGAATGTGTTTCAGGCTAACTCCTGCGATTGGCTTCAAGCCTGTATCTTCCTTATTTGTTATTGTGGTCCACTAGTCTCCATGTTTTTCTAATAAAATTTTCGGTCTGCTGCTTTCTCTATACTATACAATATATACATTTAAAATAAAATATAATTTACTTTTTTAAAACTTTCAAATATGTATAAACTTAGTATTTGTATTACACAAATACTTCAATATCATCACATTTTACCCTTGTATTACTAGTATAGAATATATTAAAGTTATTTTCTAATTTTTTTTGCAGATGTTCTGTATCCAGTTAGCATTGCCCTTGTGAACTAAGGAAGGTCATAAACTTGCACTATTTCTCTAGCTTAGATGAATTTGATATTACAACGCTTGTTCCAAAAGCTTATACCTGATTGTCTCTTTCTGTATCAGTTTTCCTGGAGTTAAGACATAACTGTTTCAAGGAGTGGTACAGACACTTGTAAAATTTGGTATGTGTTTGGGGTTTATCTCCCTTGAATACATTTATTTGGAATTATCATGGACGTAGATAATCTAAATATTATGGGATACTGAACAAGGACCCTGGTCTAACTTGAAAGTGTGATATTTCGTTATTCTTGTTCTTCTCTTTGATCTGTGTGAACGAGTTTTCATATTGCTTTCCACTCCAGTAACAAGTTGCAGTTTGTAAAATGAGTTATAGAAGTTAGTTAGTAAGTAAAGATTTTTACTGTGGCTATTAATAAAGACGCGGTTAATTTTTTCACTCATATTTGCTTATTGTCCTTTGCTGTTTGAATTAATTTAAATCCCGCGCACAGTATTTCTGGAACCTGCATTTTGTGGATACTTGATTCTTATTTGTTAGACTTCTGTATCTCTGAAAACCACATCGGTACCGTCAATTGCTTAGCAGATTACTTCAAGTATTGGGAAACGAAATTTCAACAGTAAGTCCTGGTTCATTCAGTCAGAAACGAGTATGTTAAAAACGTTAAAACTGTTCTCACGTTTTGAATTTTTATCTTAAAATTGGATCACAAGTACTTTGATGTATATCTGCTCCGTGTCATAGTCATAGACCAGTTTCACATGCATAAGGTGATGTAGGATATAATACAACTGTATTATATAAAACAATATATAGCTTTCTTAACTGGGTATTACTACAGAAAGTAACATATAGCGTTGAACCAGACATATTACCTTGACAACATTTAATACAAGATATCTCTTCAACTATAGGTGAAGTAATGTTTTTGGGTGGCAGGGCAAGGAATAAGAAATTCAAATTTCTTGGAGGTGTTCCATACCTCATTGGGTTTGAAAAGTCCGGAATCTATTATATCTAAATATGCAATCCATATCACGGTGGCGTATTTCAGTCGCTAGTTATGAGCAGTCGAAGAGACATAGGACTTTGGAGTGGCTGCTCCATTTCAACAGCATTGGCTACACACATTAATTAATTATCCATTTTTTTCAATTCTCGATTCAAATTATGGGAACTGTCTTTATTGTTTGTTTGATGTTGTAGACCGTGTTCTTGATCTTTTAGTCTTGCAGAAGGCTACTACTACTACTGTTACTATTGTCCTTATCAGCATCATACATATATTTGAGTGTTACTATAACATCTTTGGGCTTGATAGATCGATTTGCTGTCAAAAAATCCTCGCAATCGAGGGAATAACGGTGATTGATGATGACGTGTCCAAGAGTACCGAAGTTCCAGCCACGATCAGTGGGACTTGGAGGTATCTGCTGAAGATCTATTGGGCTCAGTTCTGAAAAACAGATGTAAGAACTGTCGAAGAAGAAGAAGGCTCATGTAGCGGACCCGTCTGTTACACAACAAGAAGCACTGACATTAATTATGGGTTTTTCTGCTGATGAAACACTAGCTTCAGAAATCTGAGACTAAACGAGTCAAAGATACTTTATCCTGGTTATAGCAAGGACAAAAGTTTACTAATAATGTAATTTGGCATGGTGATTGAGGAGCCAGTTAATTAATAAAGGCATTGAGCCCTTTGTAGTGGCTGGACGTTTTGCATTCTGTTGAACATTACACTCTCTCTTGCATCCCACTCAGTAAGTGTCGCCTAGCAGCGATATCGCCACTCGAGGCTGCTTGAATAAAGCATCAGTTCTTCTACTCTCTTCTACTCTTGGTTAATCCAGAATACGTAATACATGAGGCATGACAACAACCAGATTAATGACCTATGTGACTTACTCTATAGACTCCCCTACGGCGTTTAAACATATTTGCACACAGTTACCTCTTCTCAAAAATTTTCATTAACATTATCAGGCTCGGCTAATCTACACGAGAATTACCGACATCATCAATTATTCTGTATGGAGCATGTCATGGTTATGTCATCTCATTGGGTAGGTAGAGTATGAAGCTATTGAATCCTTGCCAGAAATGGTGTAAAGCACTCAGTATTTAACACTAGACTTTTTCGAATCAACTTGGATCCCTATAATCTCTACCTCACAAGTCTGGGCCTCCTCTTCTCTTCCATAAATGTTACCAGATTACAGAAATATATTTTGGATGGTACTTCATAAAGAGCACAAAACAGAACATATTTTGGAGGAGTGTTTATTTGTTTTTGAATTTCGCGCAAAGTTACACGAGGGCTATCTGCACTAGCCGTCCCTAATTTAGCAGTGTAAGACAAGAGGGAAGGCAGCTAGTCATCACCACCCACCGCCAACTCTTAGGTTACTCTTTTACCAACGAATAGTGGGATTGACCGTCACATTATAACGCCCCCACGGCTGAAAGGGAGAGCATGTTTGGTGTGACGGGGATTCGAACCCGCGACCGTCAGATTGCGAGTCGAACGCCCTAACCACCTGGCTATGTCGGACCTTTGGAGGAGTGAGAGATACAATTTGACTACCATTTTTGCAATAATGATGTTCTGATCAATAAAACCAAAATTTGTCTCAACTGAGGTAAGCTGTAGTATTCCAAAGGTAAGCCAATCATGCAGTTTTCTGTTCTTTATCTGTTAAAACATATAATAGGCCTAATACTAATATCTTATGACAAATATAATTAATTATAACCATGCTTCGCCAGCTTCGAAAAGGCGTTTATACAATAAAAATCATTGTTGTAACAAATGGCTTATTAAAATAGTGCTCTGATTACTACTGTATTTGTTGTGTCCGAGCTGAGATGATAAGCTCTGGATTGAGTGAAACGCGTCGTCGGCAATGGATATAGCGAACACAGTATGATTGTAATATCATTTGTAGTTGAACCTGTGGATAAAAAGTTTTGATTATTATCAGAATGTGTGACTTCAGTATGAAAATTTGTTTACCTAAAAAAGGGACGACCAGTCTTAATGGGTAATAATTTCGAAACACTCTAACATTAATTTTACTCATGAAACTGAAATAAATTGCCTTTTCTTGATATCCAAATCAATAGATTAGATAACTAGTTTACAACATCTGTTTATCGTAAGGAAACACATACAGACTTACATACTCGTTTCGACAGTTTTATTCCAGGCTCCTTTAAACGTAACCTTATATTCAGTTTTCTCAATAGAGCATATAACATCTGTTCTGACGACCTCTCTCTTCATACCGAAGTGATCACCTTATAGAATATTCTAATAAACAATGGCTATCCTTTGTATTTTATTCAAGCCTTAATACACAAGTTCATTTCTACCAAAACTGAATCCCCAAAGAAAACATATACTGTAGACAAACACCAATTAAGATCTATCGTCCCTTTTTGGTAAATAAAGTTTTATACTGGAATACTGTTATTACCCACTCTTCTAATTCTTGAAAATCCCTAAGGAACTAGATAAAAAAATGCAGTGTTAAAAATATAATAAGCCTAATAGTAATGTATTATGACAAGTATAATTAATTATGGCATTGCTTCGTCAGCTTTTAAAAGACATTCACACCATAACAAAAAACTTATCTATTGTTTCACGAAATTGTTGCATTGTGTCTCGCTTTACCTTGTTTATAGATAACAACTTTGCAATGTCACACTGTTTAAATATACTTAACATTCTGCTCTCTTTCCAAAAGGTCAGCTACAAAGAAAAGGTGTTTTGTGAATGCAGTTTTGGCATTTTCAATGGAGAATGATTTTGACCTTTGAGGAGAGTAATTCCTTTTGTGTTTGAGAGCACCAAGACTCCATATTTTGTTTGCTAAACCTTTTTATATCTGACAATCGTGTATTCTTTATTTTATTTTCAATTCATATTCAAGTAAAGCTTATTTTAATTGAAATACAGCTTGCTTTACAGCGGATTATTCTAATCCTATCTGATTAGGCATTCTTTTATCTTTATTTTATCTTCAACAAGAAAGGAATTTTGTTCTATTTCAACACCATGTTTTGTCTCTTTAAATTCACCTATAACGAATCATTACACTCATCCTTCCTCAAACCTTTAATTTTTGCGAAGATAAGGTAATAGTGCGTTAGGTCAAATCCTTTAATTACCACAACCATACATAATATTTTTAAATTCAATAATCCCTTCAGCCAAGAGAAAGATTCAATAATAAAACTGTTAAGATATTATAATATTAATAAAATATACCTAACGATTTTTTTTTAGCATCGTATCCTATCGTACTATTAGGAGACGTCAACGTCATTATATATTAAACAATACTCATTATAATCATAAATAATATTCAACGTTAAACTGGTACACAATTAAAAACATTTTATTGAGGCCTATCTATGGCCTTCAACAAAAAGTTGACGACTACATGTTTCGACGTTACAACGTCATCCAACGTAACGTTCTAAAGCAATGTTTTCAAACACTTTTCGCCACAATATTCCCTTCTAATAAATGTTTAAACCATTATAATATTTATTAAAATGAAAGTTCTAAGTTCTAGTCAGTTGCAAATTTTAAAGTATTTTATTTCAGCAAAAATACAGTAATTGGGCACATTCATAGCTATTAGTTAATTAGCAAAAAGGAACAAAAGAAAATATATCGTGGTAACACACGAGTAACGAATTAACTTTTAATGACTACCTTGAGCTTGATACCCTCTGTGCTTGCCATAGACACACCCAATGATTTTTCCTCAAACATGTTAGAAGAAAAACCCTTATTTCTTATGGGTTAATTTTAACAAACTTTTCTGCCCCCCCCCCCCAAAGTTTACTGCTCCCAGAGTTTTAAAAACGCCACTAAAGAGCGGTACCGCCCAGGTTAGGAAACAATAGTCCGAGGCAACTCTTTACTACAACCAGTTTAACAACAACAAAAAATTATTATACTTTGACAGTCACAAAAATCTAATGTGCCACTTTCAAACAATTGAAAAAAAAAGTTGATAGCTTACCAAAACATACCATATAAATCCAGGTAAATAATTATTTTAATAAATAAAGAAATCAAGAGAAAAAATAAAGAAACAGCCAAACAAAAAGAATCTAATTCCAAAATAACCATATTCTGTACTTAAACTACAAAATTGCTAACAACATCGAGCAATTATCAACAATAAAGCTATTCAGGTATTTTTCGCGAATTAACTTGTTAAAGCTCAATGCATAGTTTTTATTTACTTGTTAGATCACGAGATTACAGATTATGTGATCGTAATTTACATAATCCTGTCCAAAATATCTATATATATCATTTATGATGTTAGAAAAGAACGTAGGTACAAGAAGTCTTCAAAGAAATGAATAAAAACCCTATAACCCGAGCGCTTTCGAAAGGTGGACCTTTCTTTTTCGGGGCAAACTGAGAATGGTAGTGTAATCGAATGAGTGATAAAAATAAAGAAGATTTAGTGACGTCACGAAGGTCATCCGGTTTTCCAGGAAATGTTTAGTCTATTTCTCTATGTACTGTTGTAAGCATCTCATTTCCGGTACAGTGTAGCCGAGTGTATGTGAAAAGGTGTTAAGGATATTTTACTTTAGAAATGAATAAAAATATGTATAATTAAAACTTTACTTGAGTGTTTAAGTAAAATAAAGGTGACACCTAGAGACTGATTGAAAACGATATGTTATGCTAATCAATTTATAAAAAACGATATGGAAAATTATCTTAACTAACAGTAAGTTTTAGGAAATTCGGCGTTCACATGACATGAAAAAATAAGCAAAGAATAAAAATTATTTTTTTGACAGAGATGAAACCAGTAAACGGAGATCACTGATTCCAGGAGCTAGATTAATTCCGAAATTTACATACTCTTGTACAATAGTAATGATACCTGTATATCACCGCTAGGGGAACTGATGTCAGTCTCATAATACATGCAAAATACTCAAAATAGGCGCGATTATCCAGAAGGTAAATCAGTGTTTGAAATGTAACTAAAAATTCACAGATAAACTAAACGATAGATTGAACAATCGATGAACGATAAACAAAACCATAACCAAATAAAAACAGAATTCGCTTTCTCATAAATTTAAAAGAACTCGCCAACGAAAGAACAACGATACAGCATTGGTGTCAGAGTGAGACAATATTTTTGGTGAAATAAAATAGAACTTTGACTAAACTTCAACTTTTGAAGATGACAACCATGAGGTCAAAGTGAGAGCGAAGCCTGACTTGAGATGATAAAATTACTGAGACAAAGTGTAGAGGAAAGACACAGAAAATTAAAAGAGGACTAAAAGATTATAAAAAAAAAAGAGACAGAAAAATAAAGAAAGAAGAAGAAGAAAATTACAGTAAAATAAAAAGGCAAAAAATACAAAGATAGAAAATTAGAAGAATATGACTGTTAACCCATTGCCTTTCTATTTGTTCCTTTGTTTTTGTGAATAAGGAACAACTCGCAATATATAGTGTAATTTGTGGTGTGTGTGTGTGTATGATTATAAGGCAGTCAGTTTAAATAATGGTTTATATATACCAAACCGATTAGAAACAACTTTTCGGGGAGATTCGACGACTAGGTAAGGCAATGGGTTAAGAGAAAAAGATCTATTATTTAAAGAAGAATTAAAAATAAATATGACTGAAGACAAGATTGACAAAGTTATAGGATAGATGCAGAAGGATTAATACAAGTTTGAAAAAATGATGAAGGACATCAAAGGCTGTGGTGACAAAGATGTACAAAAAGACATGAGTGATAAAAAGAAAGACATCAAAGAGGTAGAAAAGGCATCACTGAGATAGAAAATAAAATTGAAGACAATATAAAACATCCAGAAAATAAATTATTAAATGTGAAAATTAAACCAGCCACGCCTCTTTCTGCATTGGCTCAGAACTGTTAGCCTGGAATGTCATCTACTACAGAATATGGAATAGGATCATTTATTTGTCTATACCTATTACCACTGTTACGTACTGATAAATTAAAATAATCAGAAGCCGAGCTAAATAATTTAAATTTTAATAGTTTTGTTACGTCTCCGTTTGTTAATTGATTTTCCGTAAATTCGTTCCGACGAAACTTTGGCGACACAAGTCCTTACTTAATAAAACTGGTTTATTCTTTCCGAATACAACTTTACGATACACTTAATTTCAACAATCGCGCTAAAACAAACGCTATAACAACGAACGAGCTCAACTTCAATAATACTTTCTCACTGCAGATCAATTACTCACTACCTACACACATATTATTCCGTCACGTTGTCACCCTCTTATATATATACCAGACTACCCTATATCTAGTAATCTCCCGACTATTCCCGAAGGTTCGAGAGGTGGCGTGACACTAGTCACGTGACCTCGCTGACGCAACAGTTTATTTGTTTTGTTTTTAAATTTCGCGCAAAGCTACACGAGGGCTATCTGCGCTAGCCGTCCCTAATTTAACAGTGTAAGACCAGAGGAAAGGCAGCTAGTCATCACCACCCACCGCCAACTCTTGGGCTATTCTTTTACCAACGAATAGTGGGATTGACCGTCACTTATAACGCCCCCACGGCTGAAAGGGCGAGCATGTTTGGTGCGACGGGGATTCGAACCGCGACCCTCAGATTGTGAGTCGAGCGCCCTAGCCATTTTAATAGTTGAATTGTACCCTGGATTTAGGGTCTAGAAATATGCCGATATCGCTATTTGCCAACAAGATTGATTCATACCGTTTTTGTTTTTGGCACAAATATGTTTTAATATATATATATAACCGTATAATTTACAATAGCAACTATTATGCTTAATTATTATAAACAAAGTTTCATAAACAGAAATTTCACTAACTTACAAATAGCCTAAAATCGTCTTTCTAGTTCAGAGTCTCCTTGATATCCAGCGAGTTAACTTGAAGTCGATGTACGTACAATTGTCGGGAAGCTAGCTAGCTTTGTCAGGCATCGATTGTTGGACCCTCAAAGTAAGATGATATTTTCATAAAACCACTAATGTCCTCTGAGAAACTAGCAATATTTTTGGAAAGATACTAACGTTTAATCAGAATTCACTGACGTTTGAAATTCATAGCTGTTCCTGGTCAAATGTCATATATTTTTCGGTTGGTAAGGGTTAGCAAAATCACGGTTTATAGCGTACACACGGTTATAACAGTTTCCTACCAGACTTAATTGTTTCTTCTTTGGCCTCGGTCTTTTTATATGAGTGGGCAATGCTTTTCTCGAACGTTTGGACAATACTGGCTATGGAAGTGGATATATATTGTTAATTCTTGTGTTCACGAATATTCTACAACCTTGGGAGAATTGGCAGGTGTTTCGCCATGCGCAACTAACACGGTAAGCTAGACACCTCTTCAAATATAAACTTATTCGAAACAAACGTTGACATTAAAATAAATATATAACAAATTCGTTATACGCAACACATATCTAATACTACAAGTCACCCATATTTCTAAAAACAAATTCAATCAAAACAACGTTCATATTAAAAATAAACACATAATGATAAATTCTTTACACCACTATTGCTGTAATACTTTTTACTGAAGGACCTTCCTGGTCTACTTC